CTCAACCCTAGTATTCATGATGATTCCCAGTGCCGAACCGTCGACTTGGTACATTCTCAGACGTTTCCCCGGCATCCTCAGTGTGAGATGACATCCTGGTCACTTGGATAAGTTGTAGGTGTGTTCTGAGGATGCTATGACAGGGGTCTCAGGACTGGGTATGTTTTACAGGATCTTCGTGTTGTCGCGACTAGGTTGCAAGAATAAGATTAAACTAATACCATAAAGGGAAAGGAGACTACGACTAGACAAACGCCAATCGGTGAGTCAGTTCAAGCGATCCGATGAGACCTTGTATGAGAATTACTGCTTCAGTAAGTGAGTAGGCTTTGGAGAATACCAGTAAATCGGAGATATGAGATGTTTTCACCCTATTTGGTTTAAGGTGATGAAGGAGAGGCAGTTGATTTTTCCCACAATATGAGTAGAGCTGACGTTTCCATTGAATTTCACATTGTTTTCGAAGGTATGAAGACCAAGATGGTGTGGCCTTTTGTGTGGTCGCAGTCTCGTTTCGTTGTATAGCAGTCGCTTGACCGTGTTTTCGCAACTTGGTCATTTTGGTAGGAAGACTTAGAGGAACACACGTAGTCCGGAGTTCATTGTATGCATAATCATTTCCAGAGTAGGACCGTAGACGCGGTACATTCCCAGACGTTTCGCCAGCATCGTAGTCAGCATCATCAGTGAGTCTCGTCATTCTTAGCACCATTCAACAACTCTTCAAAGAGACAAGTGAAGCCGATCCTTCGACCAAACGTGAGCTAAACTGTTGTGGTATCTCCCCTTCTGCCCTGGCATATTCACATTTCCTAAATCATCCTATCACACCTTCCCTGTCACAATTTTCACCGTGCTTATTTTGATGTAGTGTGGTGTGCTCCTTCGAGCGGCATCCATGAAATCCCTTCACACTCCACATGGCGTTCTCACCCCCAGTCATATTGTTACGTAGTCATTCCCTGGGCCCTATCAAATTCTACCTGATTTACATATTTCACTCGACTCCTGCCACCCTCCTCCTGTGTCAGGGTGATTAATTCGAGGCTAAAACCCTGTTCTACATGGACCACGTTTATGGTTAAAAACAAACCTACTGTCAGCCCACTAACTCTCATCGCCGCCGCGTCTATCCTGTTTCTATCTCTACCACCAAGTCTATGACTCCCCATGCCCTAGTCTCTTGTTTGCCAACCCATAAATGTTGTGGTACAGCTTGTTTTAATTTGGTTCAATGTCGAACCACAACGTTTGTCGGTTGGCACACATCGCTTTGCTTTCCCCAAAGTGGTTCTCCAACCTGTATGTTCAATTCAATGGAAATGTCAGCTCAACTCACAGCATTGTGTCAAAAATCGACTACCAGTCATTCATCTTACACCAAATACAGTGAATGCAACTCATAAGAATTAACGATCACCTTCGAGTGACTTTTTATTCCACTATTCTTTCCAGACCTGAAGATTTCCGTCGCCGAGACACAGGCGACAGCCCAGCACGGACGGATGGGGAGCTGAGGGCGATTTCTTGCGAAGCAACTTACAACTGTT